CAATATAAAAGAAAGTACTTCAACCTTGTCCCATGTATCTTTGAGATAGTCAGAAATAATGTGGTGCATGCCCCAACCTTTCATGGCCCTCTTACATGAGTGTTGTGAATGTAGCTTTCATGTGCTTCTCACCATTGCAAGCTATTGAAGAAGATAGAGTTTCACTGAAAAGATACTTGAGAGAACACAAGGCAGTATTACAATGGATATCATTTAATCTTCTGTGTACATCAAAATGGTTCTGTGTAGGGCACACATTTCAATGCTCCAAGTGCCATTTCTCTGATGCAAAATGTCTTCCACTTGCAATAAGATTCATTCATTTAATCTTAAACCTCCTGAGATATAATTTATTTGCATAGTCAAATACTTCAGATCTTTCATTAGCCAGTTTAAGTCAATAGCAAATAAAACCAACCAACTAATCACTGTCTAACCTCCTTCTGGAGGTTGGCTGGAAAACCCCTAGAACTTATAACAAGACTGATTTTCTAATAAAAACCACTGCTGAGTTTAGTAACTTGACAATCCCTTCTATTTGATTGCTATTTAATATCAGTCCTTCTTCAAGCAGAGCTCTTGAAATGAATGGGAAATTAAACTAATATTGAATACAATTCCAGGTATTTAAAATCTGTTCAAATCATTGGAATATTTTGTTAACATCATGTGTGATGCACACATACCTTTGCACACATTAACTGCAGATTTATTTAATTATTTAACCATTTAATTATTAACAATTTAATTTTTAATCCATATTATTAATTGTTTATTATCTGGTTGGTTATCATTGGTTTTACCATTATTATTGATTTTATTGTATTGCATTGCAGCACTGATTATATGTAAACAGCCCAGATATTGTATGGACTGATTGGGTGACATAAGAATCAAATAAATACATGAATAAACTGTCACCACCTTTTTGCAACCGCTAAAGCTTTGTTGCATTGAACCCTGCGCCGTGCTCTCAGGAAATTCTTGCACTACCAATGAAAAACACATTGTTTTCTCCTGACTCTTTCAGGAGACGGGGGGGGGGGGGGGGGGAGTTTTGAAGAATTTTCTCAGCAGAAAAGGGGACAGGGGTTTCCTTTATCTTTTCAACATAGGATATGACAGAATGGTGATTGTTCTGTTTTATGGTAAATATACCTTGTGTACTCTTGCTTGCAAGCGCACAGGACTGAGCATACAGTCTTCAAGCCCTGCCCAATGTCTACAGTGCCTGTGATATCACATAGTCTACCGTTCTGAGAAATGCTGCTCCCGTCTGGTCTAAGAGCCTTGTGATGCTGCTCCAGAAGGCCATGGACTTTTAGTGTAAAATATTCCTCTAGTAACAGCCTACATTTGAAAGGTAAAGTAATCTCCCAGCTAAGGAAATTCTTCAAAAAATTTCCCCTCCTGAGCTAGAGTTTTTATTTGATCCCACAAATTGCCAAAATTGAAATAATGGAGTATTAGCAACAGTGCTTATTAGAATGGTCAGTTCATTCATCAGCATGTATATGACAGCTCCCCATTTGCTCCATCCTCCCTTTAATAGGAGGAGGATTTTTTTTAAAATTTCCATTGAGATCAATCAAAGTCATTGTTCTTGTGTTAACCCTTCCACAAATGGGGGTGGAGATTTCAGGAGAAGAATGTAGAAGAGGCTCAGTCATTCTTTCCTGGAGCATGGGGTCTCCATGATGTCAAATTGGGCCACTTATACTTATGCAAGAATAAATAAAAATAAAAACCTGAGCTACCTGCTATGTAATTAGCAGAGCATATAGATTGCTATAAAATGGTTAAAAAGTGTCCGGGACCAACTCATTTGCAACAGTTAAGACAGGGGAAGATATGATTTTTTGTTGTTAGTTGCAAAGTCGTGTCCGACCCATCGCGACCCCATGGACAACATTCCTCCAGGTCTTCCTGTCCACCACCATCCCCCGGAGTCCACCTAAGCTCACACCAACTGCTTCAGTGACTCCATCTAGCCACCTCATTCTCTGCCGTCCCCTTCTTCTTCTGCCGTCAATTGTTCCCAGCATTCAACTCTTCTCCACTGAGTCCTTCCTTCTCATTAGGTGGCCAAAGTATTTGAGTTTCATCTTCAATATCTGGCCTTCTAAAGAGCAGTCAGGGTTGATCTCCTCTAAGACTGACCAGTTTGATTGCCTTGCGGTCCAAAGGACTTGCAGGAGTCTCCTCCAGCACTACGATTCCAAGGCCTCAATTCTTCGGTGCTCAGCCTTCCTTATGGTCCAACTTTCACAGCCATACATTGCAACTAGGAAAACCATAGCCTTGAATATATGAACTTTTGTCGGCAGGGTGATGTCTCTGCTTTTTAGTATGCTGTCTAGATTTGCCATAGGAGCAAGCGTCTTTTAATTTCTTGGCTGCAGTCCCCGTCTGCGGTGATCTTGGAGCCCAAGAAAATAAATTCTGTCACTACCTCCTGTTTGCCAGGAAGTGATAGGACAGAATGCCATGATCTTTGTGTTCTTTACGTTAAGTTTCAAGAAATGGATAAAATTCAGCATTCTGTGGAGCAAGTGTCTAGGGAGGAGCTTTTCATCATACTCGAACTCAGGGTGATGTAATGAAGCTGAATAGTGAGGGATTCAGTATATATACAAGGAATTAATCCTTCACAGTACATGGTATGAAAAAACTGAATTTGATATCACAAGATGCAGTGATGGCAACCAGAGTGATCAACTTTAAAAGGGTATTAGGGTAAATTCACGGAAGAGAGATTTATCAGTGACTACTAGTCATGATGCCTACTTTTTTGCTACAGTAACACTGCAGCTTGCCTCCATATGTTAGGTTCAGTGAACATGAGTAAGAGGGGTTTTTTGCATTCATGCTCTGCGTTTGGGATTTCCATATGCCTCTGGTTGGTACTTGATGTGCAGAATGCTGGACCTTTCTTACGTTCTTATGTACACAGAACATTTCCTCCTCCTAAGAATCATCACTGGATTTGAAGTGGAGTAGAAACACCCTCTTGAAAGAGATAGGATTGTATTTCACAAGAAAATCGTGTGTAACTTTCATGGTTAAATTGTTTTGTACAAGGTGGATTAGGGGAAGTCTGCTAAAGTAAGTAACTGAATAAGATCAACATGGCTTATAGCCTTTCAGTAGCACAACATGAAGAAGTGGGATGCTGTGGACAACTTTATTAGGCTGGCATTTGACACTTTACACAAGGATAAATGGAGTGTCAGTGTACTGAGCATGTTATATTTTCTCTTCTATTCATTTTGTTTATAAATAGCTTTTCCAGTCAGGCAAACTGCAAAGCTACAGCCATGTCTTGACTTACGCTGATCTAATTGAACAGTCCAGCTGTTGCTAAGAAGGTGAAGATTGTAGGCTTCCAGGTATGTGTGTTTTTGTGTAGGTTTGCAGATCCTAGCATTTCTTGCATGCTATATTCTGGTAGGATACATTCACATGGGCATAATGATCTCTGCCTATAGATCATTAATTGCATTTATGGTGGCAACATTCTGTATAGTGCCAGCTTCAACTTGTGTAGGCACTTTGGATCGGTTTTCTGCCAGGATGCCCCCTCCTGAAGTGGGGAAGCATCTTCTTTGTGACAGTCATCCCACTCCTTTTCCTTGCCATCTTCCTGTATGCTCCATGCAGCCAGCTGCCCACAGAGGGAATATGAGGCAAGTGGAAGCTAGTCCTGTATCTCAAATTTCCCCTCAGTGCTCTTTGAGAGTGACAGCAAAGAGGATGAGCTGTATATAGAGAATTCAAGGTTTGTCCAGGTCAGAAACACAGCTGGGTAGTAATGCTTTCCCCCTCATCCAAAGGCAAAAAGGATGGCATCAACAAATGGTTCTTGGAACAGAATATTTTGTCTGAATGCCACAGCTAAAAATGCCCTCTTGTGTGTATTTGTCTGGCATCACACAGGAACAGATCAATCTGCACAAACGAAGATCTATTGCCATAAGTGAAACATGTGGTTGTAAACCAGAGTTTGTCAATTATGCTGTGGAGAATCCTGCAAGTGCCCTGTTGGGTTGCTTACAGCTTGGCTAGGATAAGTGGGGTGGGTCAGTCTGAAATAGTCTGCACTATATATGAACAACTATGTGCTTAAGTACAATTCACAGAACTGGTATGTGAGTGAGAAGATTATTGAAAATAATCCCTTTGCAACACTGCATCTAGGCAATTTGTTCTTTTTTAAAGGTAAAATAAATTCACTTCACATTAATATTGTAATACCTTGGCTGCCCAGTGGCTTAAATGCTAAAATAAATGGACCATATACTGGATAGATCCCATTTGGTAGAAACTTGATGTTAGGGAAAGAAACATTGAAACTTTTAGACTAAGTACTTGCTGAGGTAGTAAACCTGTGGCTGAGCTATAAAAATTCAGACTGATGATCTGGGCTTACATAACTGAATGCTACTCCTTACCCACTCCTGCGCCCCCCCCCCCCCCCAAAAAAGAAAAGAAAACAAAAGAAAACAAAAGGAAAAAGGGAGTAACATACTTTAAAATCCCCTCTCTGTAACCATTGGTCACCAGAAATGGACAAAATCTACCACTACAGATGCAAAAAGAAATGAAGAAATGTGAAAAGCCAACAGGGACCGGTAATGATTTTTGTACAGGGGTTCTTGAACTCAGTTCAGCAGTCAAACAATTCCATGGTTCCCAATTCTTTATTTCAAAGTACGTGGCTCTGGTTTCAAGTGGGATAATCCAGACACAGGTTTATCACCTAAGAGATAACTAGGCCTTAATGTAATCTGGTGGAAGTACACAATTGTTCCTTTGCACCAGGCTATGATTAGAGGGGGTCTGTTCTGGACCACTACCCTTGTTACCTGAACTTTCTAGCATTTTGTTCATGGTGAGGATAATTAACCCTTAGTCCCTTATTTGCTGCAAAATCTTTGAAAGAGTTTCACATACAGGAAGGAATGTTAAAGGAGGAGGAATTACTTTGAGGACAATCAAGCTTTTGATAATGCAGATATTTTTATTACTCTACACAGCTATTCAGACGCTCTGGTTTTTGAACAATCACAGCTCTTTGATGTGTTAATAGAAAGGGTTTGTTTCATTCCATAAGCAAACACTTTTGTACTTAAATTCAAGCATTTATGTTCACCCGCCATTTTCACAGTTCTCTAAATTTTGTTCCCTACTGAACCCTCCTGGAGAGACCATGCACTTCTGAAAACTCTTTGTTATTTGTAGATTTCAAATGAATTTTGACTACTTGAAATCAGTCTACCAGTGATTAAATTGGACATAAAAGGTTCCTACTGGAAGCAAATGTGATTGTTTTATAGAAGCTGGCTTGTGCATTCTCAGGAAGTTGCTTTATATGAAGTCAAGACCAAATGGGATGTTACATCTGTCACAGCATTGGCTCATACATAGGGAATATCTTAAATATAAATATCTAGTCTGTGTGTGTTGGGATGGGTAGGTGGGTGAGCCAGATCAGAACTGTGTCTTGAAGGGAAGGAAATGTTAACCCTTTCCCCATGCTGTGGTCCCCATCAAAATTGTCACTCACCTGTTCCTACTTTCTGCAATTGGAAGAAAGTTCCCATAGGTGCAAACATGTCAGCCATGCTGACTTCTTTAAAATCACACACATAAGCAACTTAAGTTACTTTGGTCCTCCCACCATTGGTCTATCTAGTTCAGTGTGGTCTCCAGTGACCAGGAGTGCCACTTTGGAGTTTCAGAGAGGGTTCTTTCTCAACCCTACCTAGAGATGGTAGGAACTGAACCAGGAAGCTTGATTCAAGCTGGATGCATGATTTGTAGTCTAGTATTGAAGTGCAGTAAAAGTGACATAACAGAATTAAGACTCTAGATTAGAAATTTCTCCTTGGCATGTAACTTCTGAATGTGTGGACAAAGAGTCAGATAGATGAACAGTCCTTGTCCAATTTGCAATGAAGGTACACAAAAGTTTGATCTATAGACTTGATCTGCTGTGCTTTCACACTTCAATGGGGTGCATAAGGCCACCCTCAACTCCAAAATATATTTGATGATGAAAGTGTAAATTAATTCTCTGTAAACTATCAAAGAAATAACAGTACATCCAACTCTCTCAACTGTCTGATAACGTAAGCATTTCATGATTTGCTTTCATGAGAAGAGTGGAACTAATGTGCAATTTGATCCTTGGAGTTCTGTGTAGGCTGTCTTCAGATGTTCAAAGAAATGCACTAAGGCCTATGCATAACCATAATGCTGTTATATATATATGTAAAATGTTTGTAATGAGCTAGTGGGTATGAACTGCCCACTGAATATATGGATTGGACCCTGGGCCACATACTCATTGCCAAATAACATCTTAGGATCCACTATGTATAAGTTGTGCTGTTGCTGCCCAAGCAGCTCTACAAAAGGAAGATCCATATAAAACTCTCCACACACTGAAAATATATGTTAGCCCTTCCTACTAAGGATATATGTACCAGCCATATCCCTCTGACAGAAGTACGCTCAGTGATTGTGCAAATGGACTGAATGTGCAAAGTGACTTTTTTTTAGTTGGTTAGCTTTTATTTTACAGTCACAGACCAGGAAAAAGTGACATATATGCATAGGACACTTCCATGCTAGAAGAAATGGCTGAATGGAACAACCCTGTGCATGTACATAGAATCCCTACACTTGGCAGATGAATGTGTGGTTAGCTCATGCTATCATGGCGGGGGGAGGGGAAGACCCACAATGCCTTTCTCCATGCCTTCAAAGAATGAGAGGTTCTCATAACAAAACCTCCTAACAAAAGAACTGCATACAATCTAATTTTTAATCCAGCTGTTTTCAACAAGGATTGCTGGGCTTTGATAAAAGTAAAATCTTTTTATTAACACTCTAATGGCATTTACTCTCTTTAAACAGCAATAAGCAAAATTATGTTCATTTCCAAGTCACTGGATATGACATTAATAGCAAAACTACTCACAAAATGACTTTGCCCATCGAGTTCACTCCCTTCTGAGCTACAGCCATTAGCTCTGAAGTGTCCTGGGCTCCTTCAGAAGCCTTATGTGTTACATAATCAACCAGTCTGTCTTGTACAGCTATGCAGTTTGTACACAATATAGTGTGCCTGAGTGCACATTTAAGTACAATACCCATACTGGAGAGAAAGTAATTGATTTAAGAGAGATGACAGCTCAGTAGCTCATTTCATACTTTCACAATATAGCAATTTTTCTAAAGCCTCTCGTTTTCTCCTTTCTTCCATGGTGCTGCTCATCTTAGCTTTCCATCAATTTACCTTAAGCATCCAAAACAGCAAGGGACATTTCTGAACAACCTGGAGTATTCATCCTGGATCTGAAATGAAAATATTAGATGAACGCATTGGCTTATTAACAGGTAAATATATGTATTTTAAGCATCTTCCAGAGGCTTATTCTTTTATAAAGGTTTTACATAATGTGGCCTAGAGGGGATTAGGAAAGATACTGAGGGGGATTTCAGAATGCAGGCTACAGAGACTTGCGTAAAGGCTTCAGTCTGGAATCAGATGACTACGGTTAGTAAACCTCGTTAATTATTTCATAGGATTACTGCTGTACCATCTGAAATGCCTTGCTTCTTAAATCCTAGATCTGTGAGACGTAAGTCAGATTTTGGAGTCTTAGGACATGATTGTGAATTGGGTATGTGCTTGAATTACTTCATTCATGTACAGCTGTAGCCTTTAATATCCTTACTTGAATGTGTGGCTCTTTGGAATGAATAGAACTTCCAGGCTGATTTCTCTAGGATGGTAGTGTGCATTGCCCAGCCTCTTTACCGCAGCCTAGATTGTTTCCTCTCTCTTCTGGGACCTAGATCACATGCTTACAACCACCACAATGCTCCCTCTGAAAGGCTTTCCTGAATGATTCTTCTGAAGAAATAAGATTTTCAATAGCTCCCTACAAAATTCATCATTAGCATATGGAATTTCAGTCCCACGTCTGAGGGAAAGGGAGAGAGAATTTTCTTATCTCTTACCCATCAGCAATGACTGTAGGTGTATAAACTGCTCACTATGGCTAACATAGTTTTAAAAAATGTCTGGTCTCTCCTGGTTTCTCTTGTTTTAGTTTTATATCTCCTTTTGCTTAAAAATGCATCAAACTTTCATTCTTTCCTACTTTGTTGCCTGCTCCAGATAGACAAACTGCTACCCTGCAGATGTTGTGGGAGTACATGCTGCATTATCTCTATTTGCCATGCTGACTGAGAATGATGAGAGTTGAATCCAACAGAATTTGGAAGACCATAGATGTAGTAAAATCTATTTTATCCACATTTTTCAGATTGCCAGGTACTTTCATTCTGTTAGCTTCCCAGTGATAGAATTGGATTTGCACAGTTGTACACACCCTTGCACAAATTTATACTTGTTTGAATGTGCACTCTTGAAAATGCATAAATTCTGCCCCCAAATTTGGAAATCCTCAAAAATGCATATTTCCACATTTTAGCATGTGGGGGAAATGTGTACTTTTGTTAGTTTTTATATTTTATGTTTATTTATAACTAAATTTGTATAAAATTGTAGAAATAATAAAAATGGTATGTACATCTACAGAATCTGCATGGCCCTAGAAAAGCTGGAGAATTCACAGATCAGAGTATTTGAAATTTGAATGCCTTTGACTCTGATGATGATTTACCAATATCCCTGACTGCAGATTGCTCATTCTTGCAATAGATATTTTGGTGTTTAACATACCTGCAGTTTTAAACTGCCACTCTTGCCTTTCAGTATTGGAGCTGATCTGGATCAGGTGGCGAGATCAACCCTTTCCTCACTGCTTTTAAATTCTGACAAAAATCACCCTATTATGGAGGTTTGAAGCCTCCACACTTTTACTTTGTGATGGGTGACCCAGCAATTCTCAAACTAACCTGAATTTTTGGTAGATAACTTTGAAGCTCATTCTCAGTCACATTAATTTTTTTACCTATCTTTTGTTCTTCCAAATGGGAAAAGAGAACATTTAGAATAGAGAGAAAAGTATATTCTCCTATCTGATTGACTAAAATGTGAATCTGTATTTTTGGAAGAGTACACATTTTAAGGAATGTTGATTTTTTGAAAACCAGTCTGCATTTTGGAAAATATGATTATAAATTCAGGAATTGAAAAGGACTCCTCTCATGTTTGCCTTTGCAATTACAAATGAAATATGTTTGCATGATTTATGAACATTCATGCAATTCTTGTAAAGCCCTACTTTCATTAAATGCTAACATGCATCTAAAATTCAGTTAGGTCCTTTTCCTATTAATTTTAGGAAACTGTCACATAAAACACTGAGGTAAGGAGTGTGTTGCTTTTGTTTTTTATTTTGTTTTCTGTCTTGCACTTTTTGTGTCAATGGTAGCTCCTTCAAACTAAATAACTTTAGAGAAGAGAGTTTTGTTGGGAGTGTGACAGGCATAGGAAGCTTGTGCTTTCTCTGTCCACTTTCCATGGCCAAGGCTGTTTAGGATTCTTATTTACTTAAGAGAACTATGCATATTGATTTCATGTTGATTGCAGCCCAGTCTAGTTTTGTTTTGTTTTGTTTTTAAGAAGGAAACTTTCTTCCTCACACGCTGCTTCTAAAGATACTGTTACTGGGCAATGGGGATGAAATTTGCAACTATTACCCTTGCTTACTTTTACCAAAAAGTAGAAAAGCCGTAACTGTGTTCTAATTCATGGGTGGGCAGAATGTTGAACTCCAGATTTTTGGATATCACCTGCCAACATTGCTGGCCATTGGCCATGCTGGCAGAGGCTTCTGGGGTTGAAGTTCAGAACATCTGGAGATCAACCCAGGGTTGTCCATCAGTACATTAACATACTCATAAGGATGGTGAGTGTCTTTAGGCTAGTACATTTTCCTTGGTTTGTCTAAAACAAGAACAACATGAAGAAGAAATAAAAATAAAACTCAGGATTGAGAAATAACCTCTTCCCACATCTAGACAAAAAAGGAGGCACTTTCTGGTCCTAAATTGTAACTCTCTCTCTCTCTCTCTCTCTCTCTCTCTCTCTCTCTCTCTCTCTCTCACACACACACACACACACACACAGAGAGAGAGAGAGAGAGAGAGAGAGAGAGAGAATTTGTCTATGGAAAAAGAGTAAACTTACTTTTCGTGACAAAACACAAAGAAATATGAAGATGAATAGCCCTTGGAATGCATTGAATATTGTAAAAAGATATGCTGTGACCACTGATCCTTGGATGACATGAAGTACACCAAAGATCCAGGTAGCACCAAGGAGAAACAGGAGAGAAAGAGCTCCTCGTGCACAAGACCTAGACAGAAACAGAAGAGTTAGTAAGTTCCCCTTGTTTTTCTGAATAATTGGTACACTTAACAAAGCAAGTAATTTTTTTTCCAGTTGAGAAATATCTGCAAGAACTGCACTGAAGTTACATGGTTGCTGCTTTAGGGTGTGCTACAGTGCTGTTAACAGAATGATCGTTTCCTCTTCCTTTTAGAGCAAAATCACCAATGAATAAAACTGTATGTTTTAAAACATTGGCTGTCTTAATCTTCAAATCTATTTTCTCTGGTGTACTGCAGAGCCATATGATTTGATTTTAAATCTACTGTTAGTTTAATTCCCCAAGGTAAAACATATGTCAGTTATGAAGAATACTCCCTAAGAAACGTTGGAAAAATGTACAGTATGCTCTTAGGTCAGCACATGTGCATGATATCAAAGGGATCTGTTTCTCAAAGGGGCTGTTTCTCAGTTTCAGCCTCAGAGATAGTATTGGTTGCAAAACCAGACATTCTCTTTAAATTTAAAGAATTTTGCTTTTGCAATGCAAAAAACCAAAAAAACAAAAAACCCTTTACATTGTTGCGAGGGTTAGAACCTTGTTTTCCAAACAGCCTGATCTTTTTCTCACTCTTTGTTTCCCAGTAGTATATGTATGCCCAGCTTTGCCCATGCAGTCTGACAAATTACAGCATGTTGCTTGCAAATGGGCTCACTTATTAGTTTATTCCTTTTATTTTTCAATCCAGCAGTTTCTGGGCTTCTTCTGCCAAAGGAAGCTTTCTTCCCGCCTCTTTTTTGGTGTTGCTCTTCCAAACATGAATAATTTTTTGATTTCATTAGAAGCAGCACACTGTGTGAGCTGATAGGGCAAGGAACAGGAGAAAAAGTGATCAATCAAAGAATTGCTAAATCCTAACTATAAATCTAGTTCAGTGAGTTGAAACTTCAGGAGTGTTCCTAGGCAACAAAAACAGTAAGTTGTTTTCAATGGTCCCTGTAGCACACTCCAGCTTTTCCAGCACAAATGGTTTTCAAGGCCTCTATAAATCAGTTTTAAAGAGAATAAGTTGATGGAAAAATCACTGCAACACATGAAATAAAATAAAATAACTCTGGAGGAAGAAAAAATTACTATCCCCCAGTTATATATTCTCCCAGAAAAAGGGTAAATTGTCCAGAAAGCAAAAGCCAAAGGTAACCATTTTCTGTCCTATTGATTTTAATGGAAAGCATAAGCACATGTGTGTTTAGGTCCCCTTTAATGAAATAAATAGGACTTAGGTTTTGGTCTTAAGTTGGTAGTAAGTCCCACTGAACTCAATGGAGCTTACTTCTGAGTAAACATTCATAACCGAGCTTCATGTTACATCTAACACATCTCATTCTTCATCAGGAATAAAATTGGTTATTCTATTTGATGAAACTGTTCCCCATCCAAGCTCTGCAGAATTATAGTCCTAAAAATCTTTTATCAAACCTTACTAAACTTTTTTTAAATTCTAAGGGAAATAAAAATTAGTTTTTACTCAAATTTTCTGGCATCTTGTACTCTCTGGAAATATTTTTGCTTCAATGAATTTATCCTCTTACTCCAAATGTTGCAATAAATTCTGCAACTCCATCTGCATATGAATATGTGTGTATAGGTAAAAATCCATATGAAATGCATGTACAGAGAAATGTCTACAAAAAGACCTACACATTTTTATGCAAACTTTTTAAAAATCTGTGTTTTAGACAAACTAAAAGTGAGACTTGGATAAATTGTTAAAGCTCAATACAAATCCACTTGAGCCTGGAAAATGAAAAATCAGAATTGGCAGATTTGTCCATCCCTACCTTAGACATTTATCTGGGAGTGAGACCCACTGAATTCCCTGGAATGTCTATTTTCACGTAGGCATGACCAGGATTGCACTGTTAGGCTGTAATCCTATATCCACCTACCTGACAGCAAGTCCCATTGAATTCAGCACTGCTTATGGAGTATCGATGTATACAATTGTACCCTTAGACATTTGTCAGTAAGAAAAAATGCATTTTATATAGCAAGCAGATCTTCGATTTAAGGAATTACATTTGGTGAGATTACTTTAAAATCTACTGACATTTAAAATATGTATCACAGTTGAAACTTACCTTATGTTTTCATAGCAGCTAACTTCTGGCTTTATCATGGCTGTTTGTTGAAATACTTTATAGATAATGACACCAAAGGCCATCAAATTAACCTGAGAAAATAAGGGTTTTTTTTAAAGTTCAGCAAAATACTTGTTTGAATTATAGCATAATTGCATGTTTAAAACAAATAAATCAAAAGTTTTTTTGTAGTGTTGAGATAAAAAATCTGCTTTGATCCACTTACATTGAACAATGAAAAGTACTATAGAATATAGGTCAAATGTGTGAATACTAACAGTCTGCAAATGTCTATTAAATTTATCGGTAAATCTCTTTAGGTTCCTAAATCATAGTGTCCTACTAAGAATGCTTATGAAAGGTACATTCGATCTATATAAAAATTATACAGATATTCCATTCAAAATATTTTGATCATATCATTCATTTTCCTTAAAAATGACATCAGTGCCAAATCTTTTCTATATAAATAATTTTACATTGCAAATTTGCATGGTTTAAAAGTAACATATACTTCTATATTATATTTGGTGTGGGGTGATTTTTTTCTTTTTTTGGTTTTGCTTTTAATTATTTTGTTGTAAATCACTTCTGAATTCCTTTTAGTTGTGTGACGTGCTATAAAAACATTTAAAAAACTAAGTTAATCATATTGAAATATTTGGATAAAAGTTACAAGATAAATATTTAATAAGATTTCACAAAAAGTGTAACAGTCATAACAGGGAAACATACTTTGGTCTAGGTATTAAAGAGCACATTTATTCTACTGAGAACAAAAATGGACAGGAAAATGCGGAATCTAAAGGAAGTCTTTAATATCTTCCCATCTCTGATGCTTTTTGTGGAAATATATGCAAAATTAAAAGTCTTGGAGGTACTTGAGAAAACTGCATTTTCCAGAACCCACCTAGGTGCTTTGCCTTCATGTACTGCAGCATACTATTCTAGGTGCAGGAGAGTATAGAAGGAGACTTTCCTCCTTTTCTTTCTCTGTAGACAGAACACTATTGTCACTGCTGGCACTATCATCACCAGTAGGCTGACAAGTGGCGATAGAAGGGAAAGGAAAGGCAGGTTGGGGAAGAGGTGGGAAGGGGTCTACACAAACAATTCTTATTCAGCTCAGATTTTAATGTACAAGTGCCAGTTCCATTTCTGCTTTTGACCATATATTATGTAAAATTAAACAGAGTAGTTTGGTGGAAACAAATAGAATGCCCTACACTAAGATACAGAACAGGTGTTTATCACCTTAAGAGAACATAGCTCCATGCACAGGCATGAAGACTTGAAAATCAGCATGTTCCAAGAGAGGGTAGGAACATTTGCTGAAACTGAATGATACTAGTGTTTGAAGTAAGAACAGTTGTCTGAACAGATATTCACAAAGCTGCAATTCCTCACGAACGAATATTCACAAGCAACAGTATACCAGAAAGATGTTTTTAAAATTTTTACATTCTGGAGTTTGCCAGCACCTGCATCAGTAACAACTACATTTTCCTTGGGTGTAGTTTGCCAGAAGCCTACTTCTGAAATAGGCTTTGGTGTTTTATAAAAGCTATATAATGCCCAAAGGAACCTGAACACCTTCATACTCGCCAAAACTTCACAGATGAAAGTAGAGACATTACTTGCATATGTATAACATTTGCAGAATGAAGAATCATGGCTTCTGTCTCCTTTACCCTGTTCCATTATGGCTCCTTTTACATAATCCACTAGTGCAATATGAAAAAATTGTTTCAGTTCATCTGAACCACAATATATTCTATTTACAGCTTATGTTACCAAATCTGGACTTAAATGCAATCTGCAGTCTAAGTCCATACATGCATTTCTGATCATGTGATGTGTTTTGTGGAATCAAAAACATATGCTCAGGAATGTGTATGCTAGAAAAATGTATGTGAAAAAATTGCACACAAATGCCCTTTAGTCAATGGGAGTAAAATGTACCATAAATTCATGTATCTGGAAAAAGGAACAAATCTGAACATGTAAAAACAATAAAGTCATCATACAATTCATAACTTTCTTCAAGGGTGGAATTCCTAGAATTTTGACAATTTCAGGTTTTGGTAATTTGCACATCTGCACATTCAACTGAATGCACATACTGGGGAGAGGAAAATAAGACCATGTCTTCTTATGAATACTGCCCTGACCTCTTTCTTTTTATTTAGCAAGAATGCACATTCTCTTAGACTGTCACCTAATAATGTTTGGATTTCCAGAACTCATAATAGGGCCTTCTCACTAGGTATGGTATGTATGATCCTGAGCAGTTACTGTGCATTTCATTGGCATAATAAATGTATCTTGTGATCAGATATACATTTTATAAATAAATACAAATAAACGAAATGCTTGTTTGTTTGATTGCTTAGTCAGAATTACACAGACAAAGCCTACGTATGTGCAATTTGTATATGCATGGACCTTTCATACGGTCACCTTCAAGCAGCTCTGATCTCACTCCGTGGTAAGTTTGGAATTGGTTCTACAGATAAATAGATTTGTTTTACATCATCTGAAGCTAAGCTGAACGTCATCACTTGAGAACTTCTAGCTTAAAGTTAAGTGTGGGCAGTGAAATCACCTGGTGTGATAATTCTGGCCATGAGCGGTAGCCATGAGACCACACAGAGAGCAAAGAGTTATAGGGCAAAACATCTTGGGAACCATAAGCCACCCCTCTCTTTTTTCCTTTGCCACACTGCTTCTGTTACTTGAAACAAACCACTTTCCATTCTTTTCACCGTTTCTCTCTCTCTCTCTCTCTCTCTCTCTCTCTCTCTCTCTCTCTCTCTCTCTCTCTCTCTCTCAGTTCTCTCAGGATCTATTATCAATGGAAGGTACCTTGGAGAAGTTTTAAACAAAGCTATTTGTTTCTCGCATGGCCCTTGCCAGGTCTAGCCTTTGACATACATGATATGTGATCCACTGTTAAAAGCAATACATTTCCAAACATTTTTGGAACGTACAGATAATTTTTAGAAGTTCTTAGGACTTGAAACAGCTATTGCATATTCTTAGAAAGGTGGGTCATCCCACCTGCATTTTGATTTTGGTTTTACACTGCAAGTGGATGAGAAGTTGCAGTATACTCAAGGAAGAAATAAAGTTGGAAAGTATAATTTTCTGTGTTTTACATACACTAGGAACACTCATGAACTCAAGATGCTGCTGAATGAAAGATAGTGAATCCCTATAGTTTGACAAGGAAGCTGCCTAAGAGCTGGGTCAGGGGAGCCACAATGTCCCTTCTATGTATAGTGGCTCTCCAGCTTTAGATTGCTTTACTCTACCACTGCTTTGCAGTGGTTCCGCTCCTATCTCAATGGCTGATTCCAAAAGGTGGTGCTGGGGGACTATGGCTCTGCGCCATGGCAGCTATGCCATCGAGTTCCGCAGGGGTCCATTTTGTCCCCCTTGCTATTCAACATCTACATGAAACCGCTGGGAGAGGTCATCCGGAGGTGTGGGCTGTGGGATCATCAGTATGCTGATGATACCCAGCTCTACCTCTCATTCTCAACTAATCCAGGTGAGGAGGTGGCTGTACTGAACCAGTGCCTGGCCGAGGTAATGGGCTGGATGAGGGCCAATAAACTGAAGCTCAATCCAGACAAGACAGAGGTCCTGTTGGTAGGTGGGTCGGGCTTTGGAATGGGGGATCTGGACCTTGTCCTGAACAGTGTTGCACTCCCTCTTAGGATCAGGGTGCGCAGCCTGGGAGTGCTTCTCGACCCAGAGCTGTCATTAGAAGCTCAAATAACAGCAGTGGCAAGGAGCGCCTTCCTTCAGCTTCAGCTGATCCATCAGCTGCATCCCTACCTGGAGAACGACTGCCTGGCGACTGTGACACATGCATTGGTAACTTCCCGATTAGATTTCTGTAACGCGCTCTATGTGGGGCTGCCCTTGAAGACGGTCCGGATACTTCAATTGGTGCAAAATAGAGCTGCCAGGTTGCTGCCAGGGACTGGGCATTGTTCTCATATAACCCCAGTCCTCCGTCAGCTTCACTGGCTCCCCATTGAAGTCCGGGCCCAATTCAAGGTGTTGGTTATGACCTATAAAGTCCTCAACGGCTTGGGACCTGGTTATCTAAAGGAGCACTTGCGTCCATATATGCCCTCCTACCCCCTGAGATTGGCAGAGGAGGCTCTTCTCCGGGAGCCCTCTGTGAAGGATATTAGGAGGGTGAATACCCAGAGGAGGGCCTTCTCTGTGGTGGCACCCCACCTGTAGAATGCGCTCCCCAAAGAGGTCTGCCTGGCGCCGTCATTATTCGTTTTTCGGCGCCAGGCCAAGACCTTTTTATTTAAACAATATTTTAATTGTTAATCAGTTGTTTTATTTTGTGGTTTTAAATTATGGCCGAGATACTCCAAATGTTTAATGTTATTCTATTCTTTGTTTATTTATTTTCTTTGTGAGCCACTCCGAGGCTTTGGCGATGGGTGCAGCATAGAAATGTTATAAATAAATAAATAAATAAATAAATAAATAAAATGTGTGCCCATTTATTTGAACACCATTGCAAGTGCAGGGGCTTGATTCTGGCATTCAAACAAATGCATGTGGATTGGGTATGAAAAGTGCTGTCCCCATCCACTCCGATTCAGAATCTGTATACTAAATCTCTAATGCAGAGATGTACGATGCAAGGCAAGAAATGACACTATTAATTCAGAGTCTTTATATTCTTACATTGAAGTTTGTATCCAACAACAATCAACTTAACTCCTGTTAATTTCAGTGGTTCTACTCTTAATAGGAATACCATTGAATATGATCCTAACAGCATAATTGCATCAGACTGATTCCCACTAGATGGGCATTTTAACTTAGATGGTCCTCTAACTCTCATTAAGGGCACAATTCTATGCAAACTAAGATATAAAAGTAATCATCAAGTTACAGGGCTATAGGGCCTTGAATTGTACTTTTACTGTCTTACCTTGTTCAGGAAGGCATGGGACTGAAGTGGTGTGGATTTGAAGGATCCATGATCTCATCTCTCTCTACCCTGCTCTGTCAACTGGTACATCTTTCTTCCTTTCTTTCCTCAAAAGTAGAA